CTCCAGACAACGCCTTGATAGTGGAATAGAGCTCTCTAGAGTGAACCTCCACTATCTTATCCTCATCACCAAATCCAATTTCCATCATCCCCTTCAACGGATCTCCCAACCCAAACTTCTCATAAACTCCCGATATATATTCATCTTCCTCAAGAAGCTTCAAATCTGCAAGGTCTTTTTCATATCTGTGCAGTTTGTTATTCTTCCATCTTTTCAAATTAGCAAACTCCTTGTATGTAGCATATCCATCACGCAAAATCTCCCTCAATCCCGTACAAAATATACCTTTCTCTTGTGTTAGTGAGAGTACCTTCTCCTCCATACCACTATATCCTCTCTCTACAGCGGTACTTCTCCAAAATCTTCAGATTTTGGGAAAGCCCCCTCTCTCAACCTATGCCATTTCTCTCATGATTTGCTGGAATTGTTAGAAAATGCACTAACTGTTTCCCATCTTCGCTGCGAATTCGTGCATATGCTGATCCATCATCAAGCACTCTTGTCTCCATCCTCAGCGCTATGATGTAAGGCTGCCCAAGAATCAATGGGTATGATGGAGAGTCTTGCACGAAGAAATTATGCTCAGCTACTACATCCCCAACCTTCACCGGAATATCAGAACCAAAAGGTGCAAAATGTAAAGATACATTTGGGTAGATCATATGAAGGAATTCATATATGAGTTATATAATGATGAGTTAGATGAGCTTCATGTAGGCTACACAAAATATTTATAACATTTTTGTATAAAAATTGTAGTTGTTTTATGACTTTGTGTATGATAGTTTTTGCATCCACTGGGATGAACACAAGATTTTTATCTACTTGACATTATTTTCAAGATGTTGAAAGAAAAGGTTTTTTAAAAAACTTTCTTTAGTTTTGTGGGTATATTTTCTTGCAATAATGAGTGTTATGTGGTATGCAACTTTGTAATGTAAACAGATGAAATTTTTTTATCTGTTTACATTAAAATGATCATTGAAAATCTCCATAATTTTTTTTATGGAGATTTTCAATGATCATTTTTTTGCTTGTATGTTTTCTATGCATGTCAATGAGTTGATTGTACAAGTGCATGGCAGCACTTCTAGTTAGATGATTATTATCATATTGGTTGCCATTTTGGGTTCTTCCATTTATTGACATGGTGTGCATTACAATCAATTTCTAATTAAGGCCATGCAATGTATTAAAATGCTTTGTTATGTCTCACTGTTTAGAGTATCTTGAGAGTAACATGTAAACATAGAGATAAAAGTGTGGTCATGTGTTTAGGCAAATAGTATTTTGCTCTCCTATTCACCATGGGATCCAAGTTTCTAGGAGAGTGGATTAACCATTGAACCATCTCTTTTTGGCAAAAATGGCATATTGTAAACTTTATTGCGAAAGTATGACCAATGAATGATACGAGAGCTTACATAGCTTTGCAAGTCTTATGGAAGACTTGCAAGTTGGACAAATTAAAAATAAAGTAATGAGCATTCAAGAGAGATTGCTATCTTGATATACTTTCTTTGGTTGTAGTCATATCACACTTTCAACATTCTAGAATGAATTAAGAATGATAATGGGAGGAATTTTTCAAGTATTTCTATGTTGTTATCATAGAGTTTTATCTAATTCACTAGATGCTTTTTACTATAGAGTACAATGATAACGAGCATTTTGTCACGACTTATGTAGCGGCATCCCTAGTTAGGTGAGTGCATGCATGCATGAGCAGATACAACATTTAAAGTCGGGAGGGTAATTAGCGTCTTGGTGTAGCCGTTAGAACCGACAACATCGTTAGGAGATCCAAAGCTCAGAGGATAGAGAGTTTGAATTAGGACTTCTTGGGGGTAGTTTTTGAAGTTGAGCATTTGAGAGTGTGGCTAAGGTGGATAGTAGCTAATGCATGAAACTTGAGTTTTTGAAACACAAAGTGAGTTTGGCTCAAATGTAATCTCTCTTTTGTGCTATGGTTATGAGCGAAGTGTCTTTGTGGACTTTTTGAAAGTAGAAAAGATTACTTTGAAAATTCAAATTGGACTATGTGGTGAGAATTATGAGTTCTTGGAGTGCTAATGGTATTTAGGTGAATTTTGAGCTTTGATCTTCTTATTGTATAGTGTGCTTGCATTGATGGAGTGAAGACCGTGGTGGCGATCTAGAGGTAGAGTAATTTGAAGTTGGTGTGATCAATTTCTATTTTTTATATTTTTTATTTTAGTGCTTAAATCTGAATGAAGAATTTTAGAATTCTGAAGTGCGGCTATTAACACAAAAATAATTATATTTCCACATTATTTGCATCTATATTATATTAAATCACAAAAAAATCCATGACATCATTATATATACATGATTTATAAAATTTAACATTAATCGCACTTTTAGACAAAATGTCATTATTTGAACATCACACAAGAATAATAATCACCATGTATAATGTATAACTTCAATCATTCTCAATACACAAGATTATATATATGATTAAAATTCTAAAATTCTAAGATAAGTGGCATCAACCTCACATAATCCAACATAGCAACCATCTTATATATGGAAAGACAAATTCGTTTCAATCAATGAATAAAATTCATATGCCTTACATATATAAATACAAATTCACTTGATTTAATTTATAAAATTCATCCATCATAATTTTCTCAGTAGTTTTATAAATGGATCAATCATAAAAAATTATGCTAATGGGTAGGTTTAATTTTAAAATTTACATAGTCAAATAATAACTTTTATTTTTAAAAAAATCTTATTAAAAAAATATATAAAACCCTAAAAAAATATAACCATTGTCATAACACGACAACACGTAAAAAAATATTTTTCATAATTATTTATTATATTTATTCACATACATTAAAATCTATATATAAATTATATTTATGTATAAATTAATTTGAAACACTTTTATAATTAATTGTGAGCAATGTTCCACAACCATTACATATTGTGTTATCTCAATTACTCTGTCAACATATCTATTTATTGAAAAGAAAACTAAAAGCACACATTGAAATCAAAAGAAAAAAAAATTCCATTTAGCTAAATTGTACAATAACCATTATCTTCAACATTCTCTATACATCAAATACATCTCATCATTTAAGCATATGATTATTGCTCACACAACCAATCATAAAGAATTTATAACCAAATGACTTCAATCACAACATTAGATTGTATATTTTTTTTACATACATTTAAAATTGGTGCAACATTAATAATATCAAATCATCTTCATTGTAAAACTGAGATATAGTCAATTCATAAATAATATAAAAAAAACTCTTCAATCTTAATAATATATTTACTCATTTTACATTCAAACACTTATTTATGCACATGATTACATGCACACTTCTCTTGAGAAATATAATAATTGTTCTATCAAAGAACTCAAAATCAATAAACATAATAAAATATTATAACACATTGCCGACCCTTGAAATAAAATATTGATGTTCTAACAAAATATGAAAATAAAAGTGAGCAATAATTTAAATATGTGCTCTCAAGTTAATTTCACATAAATATGTAATACATATACTTGCAATTGCCTTTTGCATCTTAAAGTTCATTGAACCATTATAAAAATTTATCACTAAACGGATCACTTATATTGAAATACAAACATATATAAAAAATAATATTGATTGACTGACATATTGCAACGATAGATTTTTGCTCCAAATTATACAAAAAATGATTGAATTAAATAACATCTAAGTGTATAAGATATATAATCAACGAGTTTTTTTATTATCAATGCATGTGATAATGTGTTGAATCTCACCTGTGGTGATCTATTGAGGTCAATCTCTAAACTAAAATGTATATTGTGAGATCCCAAGTAACGTCGTAGGTGACTATAGGTAAGATAATCGGATCTCGAGATCTCATCACTTGGTTTATAAAATTGGCACCAAAATGATAAACTAAATATTGAGTAAATCTTGCTCTCTCAATATATAATAGTTTGATATGAAAAGGATTAAAAAATGGGAATCTTTATACTATTCTATCTCCCCATCCAGAACCTGCATCCACAATTACCCTCTTCCACTACTTACAGCTCAATGACCACTATCAGCCTCTAACAAACACTCTCTTTTCCAAGAGTGTGATCCACACTCATAGGAACAATAAGTATGCTTTGATACCATTGTAACACTGAAGGTAATGACTCCGGAATGACTTTATATACTGTAGGATTAGGAAAGTTAGAAATCCAAACTATGCCACATGGCTTATGTAGCGGCATCCCTAGTTAGGTGATTGTGCATATGCATGATTAGTTTCAAAAGTTTGAGTCGATAATACAATTAGCCCTGTTTGCACTAGAACTATCTTAGGGCTGATAACGCCATTAGAAGACCTAGGGCTCAAGGGTTAGAGTTAGAATTAGGTCTCATTGGAGGATAGATTTTGAAGTTGAGAGTGTGGTTATGACGGATAGTAGCTAGTGTAGGAATATGGAGTCTTTGAAACACAAAGTGGATTTGGATTGATTGTAATTTTACTTTTATTTTATATTTATGAATGGAGTGTACTTGTGGACGTTTTGAGAATAGATTATTGTGGTACACTTGTGTTGGGGTATGAAGATATGTGCATTGTGATGTGCACGATGTGATAATTTAGTAAAATTGATTGATATAATTGACATAGTACAATGATTAATTATGAAATTTTGTATTTTGAAGTTATGCTATGATCCTTGGTATCTCGGTCGTCTCAATGATTAATCATGCCACCTAGTGTGTCATTGATCAAAGTAAAACCTTGAGTGTTAGTGGATCAGATATTCCAAACGAGGGTTTACTAGTTTGGGCTCAAAACTATAACGAAGCGTTGGGATTTAACCTTGAATGTTTTTCTAAAACGTTCGGCTCAGAAGTGTACAATTCTCTCAAGAGCTTGGAGTCGAAGATCCTGGAAGCAGATCGCGCACGGTTCCACCGGGGATTGAACTCGATCTCGCTCGCGCACGGTTCCACCGGGGATTGAACTCGATCTCGCTGCTTACGAGGCAGCACCCCTAACCGCTAGACTGCGAACGCTAGTTGCAAAATTATGTGATTATATTATTAATGAATTTAAAAATACACCAAATGGTCCCAATTGGAAACATTGGTATGACATTAAAATTCACTTGCGTCGTCGGTATCAGTTTTTGTAGCCAGGAAAGGGTTCTCATGATGTCACCGAGAACATTTGAATTTACCAGATCCTTAGATGGGGGCTAAGCGTAACACCGTTTGAGCCTTTGGATGATGTGAGTTACTGTGAAAAGTCAGTAACTTTAGAGCCTTGATAGATTGGACCCATTGGAAAATTGAAATTTTCGGAGTTTGTAAATTTCGTAATTATTCTCCAACCAGACTTATTTGTACAAAGTTGACATCTCTCCTTTAACGAGGATAACAATTTTTTGTGACAAAATTTATAAGATTTGTTGGTCCGTTGCATTTCATAGTGCCAAATATTTGGAGTACTGTCATATGAATGCATTTGATTTTACATATTTTTCCATGCTCATTTTAGAAATTAATATTTTTTGAAGCTGAAGTTATCCACGTCGCTTTTACACTTGTGAAAAATATTTCTCATGCTTCAAAATATATCTCATGTGTAAAAGAGTGACATGAAATAATCTTTAATTAATTCCATCGCCCCGGGGATGAATAAAAAATGTTTACCCGGGTCGAAGACGCGCGACCAACGGGTATCGGCCTCTCTCCTATCGGGTCTTCACTCACACAGAAACAAACACGACAACGATAACTTTACAAACATAATCACATGTGAAAAATGAAAGATATAGTTTTACCTAAGTCAAGAGCATGCAGAATTTTCGACGAACATTCACATCACTATCTCACACACTTATAATTTTTGCTTGTAAATTTACTTGCAGCAATAACTCCAAGGTTTCAATTATAGTTTAAGAAACAAAAAAATTCACACTTACATTTTAATCAAACACATATTTAAATTATCCGTGTCCATAAAATCACTTATGTGTGTGCATCATAAAAAGTGTGAAGTCACACGTATATGTAGCATTACGTAGTTGTGGAGAAAAATAAATAAAAAATCACATCATCTTTGTTTTGCAAGAATCTTTTTAAAATTTTTTTATTTCACATCAAAATTTAATTTAAAATTTAAAAATATTCATTCATATGAAATATGTTGATATAAATATTTAATAAAAATAAATATTATTTTTGTTCTAAATCTTAAATTTTATATCAAATACAAGTTGATGTGTCCATAAAATCATTCAAGTGTGTGCATCATAAAAAGTATGAAGTCAAACAAATATGTCATAATATTTAAAAAATTTGATAAATTATTTTAAATGATTTTTTCATGCCAAAACCATATCCAAAAATTAGATTATTTATGAGAATCAGCTTGTCCATGCATTGTCAAAGATGTCATGCATTAATCATATTGTTTGTATTATTATTGTTGGGACTTTCTATTGTTTTCATTCCACATCAAAATTTTACAATTTACAGTCTACTATTTTTTCACATTAATGCATATATTTTTTCATATAGGTATCTCATTTAAAATTTTTAAATTTAATATAATATATAAATTAAGAAAATATTTTGACATATTTTTAGAATATGTCAAAATATTTTAAAAATGTGAGCAAATAATTTTTAATGAATTTTTTCATGCCAAACATATGTCCAAAAATTATATTTGTATTATATATATTACATTTTGACTTATTGGAAATTTTTTTCTTTGTATTTTTTTCATTCTACATCAAAATCTGACAATTTAATACCCTGCTATTTTTTCACATTAATATAAATATTTTATTTTTAATTATTCAAAATTTAATGAAATAAAATAAAATATTTAGAAAAATTTCAAACATATGTCAAAATATTTGAAAATATGATCAATATTTTAAATCTCTTCTTTCATGACAAAAAGATTATGAAGTTATAATGAAAACATCTTAATTTTCTAGTTGTTATATTTTTCAAACTTTCTCTCTTTTATTCATTTGTGCTTCATGTACACTCTTGTACATTTTTTCTTTTTCTTAAATTTTTTTGAAATAAAATCTGATCGTTGGATGTTTATTAATTTAGGTCCACATGTCAAAATATACAGAAGAGAAAAAATATAAAATATTATATTACCTTAAACTCATTGTAATTAAATATAATTGATTCAAATCTATTTTATTTAATACTTTTAATTTTAAGAATATTTTTAACTCCAGTCAATTTTTATTTAGTGGTTATCTTTGACAACTACAACTAGTAGATGTTTGGAAACTTTTAATAATCTAAAATGATTTCAATTTTATAATTTTTTTTGGGAGCATTAATTGTTGGCTAATAATTTTTGAATCATATCTTGATATGATTCAAAAATTAAATCTTCATATTTTAAGGATTCTAGTGAGGAAAAATAGATAAACTTTCAATTTTTGATCCTATGCGTGAATTCCAAATGGAGAGAATTGGTCAATAAAAAAGTAATTATTGTTAGTATTTCCAAGTTGAACTTCAATAAGAAGGTTGTGTGGGTGCTCATGTGTGTTAGTGGGTTCGACGTTGCTAACAAGAAAAAGTTCTTATGGAACCATACCAAGAAGTTGAAGCTGAATGACAAGCTTTTCAAGTTGTTGTTGATATTGGAGAAAAAATGAAGTAGGTTGTTTGATTTCATATTTAAGCCCATTCATTGAGCATTACCTTTTTGACCGAGTATTAAAAGAAGTACGAGAAACCGTTCCATGACTGTTTGATGAATATACTCCTCAATTGAAGCAATTCAAACATTCAATGTGGTTCATATATAAATGCCAAAAAAGCCTCCTTTGAGAGCGTGGAAACACAGGAGGAGATCAAAATATTCAAGAGAGAAAGACAATGAAAGAAAGGCATTGAAGGAGAAACTCGAGGAAAAATCATTGTGCGAAAAGTAAGAAAAATGCAAAATGCAAACTCAACAAGAGAAGAAAAATTGTAAGTAGATGTTGCAATGTGCGGAAGAGACAAAGAGAGAAGACAAATGTTAGAATGTTGACAATGAGAAGCTCAAATCTAGAATGAAGAAGAAAATGGGGAAGTATCAACATTCCTCACCCACCAAAATTCCTAAGAACAGGTTGGAAATGACCGCCCGTTCACTGCCGGCTAAGAACAAGGATGTCGTTTTGCTGAAGACGTACCTTGTTGGAAGAATTCTCACGGAGGATTTTTTGTTGGTAGACAAGAAGAAAAGAAAACTAGATTGTCTCCGCGATACTTGTTGACTAACGAAAAGCATATATATCATGAACATCACTAAATTTTACTTTTCAAAAAACTCATCCGAAGAAGTTTGATCCAAACACATTTTTTGAGAATATACAGATTCGAGAAACTGATAAGATCACATTGAGAATATCAAGATTCTGAAGAAGTAGAACAACATGGCCTTGATGACCCCATTTCATGTCATTGTGGATCCCAAAGACTACAAGGACATGGTCAATTTTGAGTTGGACAAGACATGTTGTCGCATGGACATTGCTTCACTCTGAGAAGGCCTGAACGCATGGCTGTAGAAGGACCCTCTTGAACCTTGTATGAATTAACAATCTCTTCTTCTTCTTCTCCTTAGCACTCCACATTCGAGTCCATTTCAACCAGTAAAACTTCAGCTGAAAAAGATTATGATATCCAATAATTGGACCAATACCTCTTGCCTAAATTTCACAAAAAATTGCTCTACAATATTCTTGTTCTCTTGGAAAAGTTTTATATGTTTGTCTCCTCTAGATCTCTTAGAACAATTGTCGAATTACACATTGTATCACAAGGTGATATGTAGACCCCTTTGTACTAAAACCATCACACATCCCAATCCTTGCCTTCAATTGCTCTCAAATTTCATGAAGAGGTCACTTATCATTCAAACCTATGGAAAGTTTTATTGATGAAACTTTTTGATAACAAAAGATATGATTGTTGTACTAACTTCGTGGAGTCATCGTCATCCTGCCGGTTCGATCGTACACAAACTTCAAGCTATCATTCCGTACTTAAAACTCATCTAATTGAGTCGAAATTTCAATCCAAGCACAAGCTTGAGTTGTAAAATATATCTAAGTTGAATCAGATATCTCAAAAGCTTTGAAAGATTTTCAGAAACTTCCCAAATATACTCAAAGGCCTAAATTTCCTTTTCTATCTTTGAATCGTCATATCAGAGTACCAAACCCCTCAATTGTATCCATTTTTGAGCCCACATCATATCTCTTCCCATCAACACTGTCCTCAAATCTTCGAATATCCTCTTGGAAGGCTTCCAAAACTCCTCAAAACCTCGAAGAAGTTATCCAAGTGCCCCCATTGGTCCAAACTCCAAGGCCAATGAAAATGAAGAATGTCATTTTGACCTCTAGTGTGGCCAAATTAGCTCCATATTAACTTAGAGCTTTACAACTTTACTAAACACACTACTTAGCCATCATATACACAATATGAGTTGCCACTAATGAAGAGTCAAAATGACAACTCAGAACCGGCTAAGTATGAACCGACTACAAACGGAACCAGGGAGTTTATAACTTGAGAATAATACTCCTCGCCAAAATTCATAACAATCAACTCCACATGGTTTATTTTGGGTAAACAATAGTGATTGGAACCCACGTGTTGAAAGATTTGATAAGTTTAGATCCATACCGCCCAATCTAAATCAAAACGTATACTGTTAAGTACCAAATCGCTCCGTAGGAAACAACTGGAAGAATAATTGGGTCTGGAGAGTTTATCACTTGTTGCATAAAGTTATCTCTAAAGTGATATACTAACCACGTCCAAAAGTGATCACAATGAAAACACCCGATGTTAATCACAAATGGATTGAGCATTGGTATATTTGGAGGATCATGTTGTCCTCTATCCATGTCCTACGTCGGCTCCACTTCGATCAGATAAGCTCCTTAGTCAGCAAAGTGATATGTCTAGATTTCTCCCATACCCTTTCCACCCTTACTGCACTTTATATATGATAAGGTCCAAGATAACAT